CCCCCCCCCCCCCCCGTTGGGCCCCTAGGAGAATGATGGGGCCATGGGAGGCCCCTTTCCTCTTCCTGGGGGTAGGAGGAGGCTGTCTCATTCTTGCCATTTTCAACAAAGGAAACTGAGTCTGCAGAACATCCCAGATGTGCGTTCTCACCCTCAAGGGGTGAGAAATTCAAGGAGAAAGGAAGACAGAGAAGAGAAATTTCAACCCCTAGTCTCGCCTGGGGGCTGCACTGGGCTTCTTGAATGGAGGTTATGTCTCTCCCTAGCATGTGAATCTCATTATCTGCCCAGCAAAGCCTGCATTATGCTATTATTATTATTGTTATTGACATTGTTGTCACCGTAACGATTAGTTGCTTACAATCTTCTAGGGGCAGGAAAAGGCCTGGGGCTCCACTATGCCTCGAGTGATGGGGAGGCTAAGCTCAGAGACAGGCAGAGACCTGGCTGAGGTCCCGGAGGCTCTCAGGGTCTGTGTGAGGACACGAACCAAGACTCTGTCCGCCCCTTTCTCAAAACAGCCTGCTCTCCGTGAGGCAGGGGTCTCTCGGGGAGATGACGACACAGTTGCTCTGGGCCACCAGTTGGTTTCCAGGTGGATGTGGCCAGGCTCGGTCCCACCTCCAAGCCTGGATGCACATGGTACTCCCCGCTCCAGGTGCCCCCTCCCTGTCCTGTACCCCATCTCCCCTGGGCCACCTGCAGCCATGGGGCGCTGGGGGTGGGAGACGACCTCAGATCTCCCCTGTTACTGAGGGTCTGAAAATAGCCTTCTGCCCTCATGGGGTGGGGCAGGATGGGGTACTGTTTGTGCCAGCCCAGCCCCCTCTACGCCAATGTCCCCCGACATGTGAGTCACCGTAACAGCTGTGGCAGGGACTGGACCTTACAGCCCCTTCTGTGCCCCACCCCACCCTGCCCCGGCTGACCTGCTGAGGCAGAGGGAGAATGGAGGGGGCTGTCTCCTGCCAGGTCCCCTCCAACCTCAGGGGTGCTTTTCCTGTACCACCATGTCACTCAACATGCCAGCCCTGGGGGTGGGGAGCGGCTCGCCCAAGGTCACACAGCTGATTCGCAGACCTGGGTCCAGAGCCTGGGAGTCTGGCCAGAGAAGCTGGGGCAGGGGATCCATGGAGGCATGGGCACTGTCCCCCATGGAGGGGACACCATGGTAGCAGGAGGCCTGGGCTGTGGCTGTCATCCAAGGCCGGGAGCTTATTGGGGGAGTGATCAGAGGGAGCTGGGAAGGGGCAGTTGGGGTGTCAGCAAGCTGAACGGGGATGCTAGCTCCTTCTAGCATAGGAACCCCCTTATCTGCCCGGCTCTCAAAAGCCTGAATTATGCCATTATTATTGTTGCTGTTGCTAGGATTATTTTGGGCCCAGACTCTAACTCTCCCTGAACCCCTTTGTCTCTGAGCCCCTTCCCCTTTGATGAGTTCTCTCCTTTTCCTTCTCCCCCCTTCTCCAAGCCTCCTCACCCCTGCCGTATGACTACCCCCTCCTCCCTGGGCCCTCTCTGGGGAGAGATGCCAGGGAGGCGGGCAAGGGCAGGAGCCCACGTCACTGGTGACCCCAGCTGGTTCTGGAGGAAGGAAGACAAACAGCCTGTAACTGGGTCACAGACCTGCTGCCTGAGCCTCCAGGTCCTCCCAGGGAGGTCAACCCAGGTGAGAGGCAGGCCTGTTGCTCTCTTTGTCCCACAAGACCTGTGACAACCAAGGCCTCTTCCCCAGACACTTCCCAATACCCTCACTGGTTGATAGGGCAAGGGAGACAGCCAAGGAAAGCTAGAAGCCAAGAATCTTCCTGAACTCCTATGCATCCCTCAAAACCCCATCTCCAGTGTTCCTTCCTTCAGGCAGCCTTTCTTGCTTTCCTCAGGGTTCTCTTCCAGACCTAGCCTGGACCACACAGCTGGGCATTTTTGAGTCCAGCTCAACTGGTCTCCCTCAACCCTGAGGCCCAGGGTTGAAGCACTGGCTGCCAGGAAGACTGGGGGGAATAAGCTTGGGTGACAACAGCCTCCATTTTCACCTCTGTATGATCCAGGAACAAATCACTGCTATGCCTTGGGTGTCAGTTTCTCATCCTATACAATGGGCAAAAAGGGACCTGGCACCCTGCTGGAGATCAGTGGGGAGCTTATCCACTGCTCTGGTAATCACAGATGAAAGGTTAGGGAAGACAGCAAGAAACCCCAGAAATCTTTCTTGGCCAAATGGGATTTCACAAGCTAACAAGTATAATAAAATGTCAAGCTGGACTTCCTTGGTGGTCCAGTGGTTAAGACGCTGTGCTTTGACTGCAGGGGGCATGGGTTTGACTACTGGTTGGGGGACTAAGAACTCCAAAAACCTTACTTGGCCAAAGAGGACAGCAGCAGCTGGCAGGCAGACACTTGGGTCCAAGCCCTTGCTGGGCACTATGGACTGGTCAACTGTGCTCTGGGCTGTGTCCCTTACTGGGCCTCCCTGTGGCTCACCCACTCTGAGAGTCCAGGACAGCAAACCAGGATGTGAAACTCCAATTCCCAAACCAAAAGTTTTCCACAAAGCATTCTCTCTCCTGACTCAGTGACTCAACAAATGTTACTGAGAATCTCTTGTCCACCTCCTAATTGCTTTCCCAAACTCCTGTGCATCCTTCAAAACTCAGGTTCCAATGTCCCTTCCTCCAGGTAAGCCCACTGTTTGTTAAGTGTCAAACAGCAGAACTCATATTTGAATGCAGGCCCATTTGGTGCCAGACTAAGTGTTCTTGCTAGTGATTCCTCCTTCCAAGTTCAGAGCATCATAGCTTATGAACAGCTCTTATCCAATGAGAGAAAAATGCATTTGATGGTTCAACAAACATCTACTGAGTGCCAGCTCCATGTATGATGCTGGGGCCCAGCAGAGTCCTGGGCTCAGCCCTCACCCAGATCTTGATTTGGGCAGGGATGGATATTAAACAAGCTAGGAAATGGAATAAAATGTCAGGTTGGACTTCCCTGGTTGTCCAGTGGTTAAGACTCTGCACTTCAACTGCAGGGAGCATGGGTTCAATCCCTGGCTGGGGAACAAAGATCCCACAAGCAGCAGCCAATAAATAAATAAATAAAACAGGGAATTCCCTGGTGATCCAGAGGTTAGGACTCCGCCTCTGCACTCTCACTGAGGGTCTGGGTTTCATCCCTGGTTGGGGGACTAAGATCCCACAACTCGGAGGTGTGGCTAAAAAAATAAATAAATGAAAGACAGAAGGAAAGAAAGAAAGCGAAAGAAAGGAAGGATGGAACAAAAAAGAAAATTTCAGGTGGAACAAAAAGAAAATTTCAGGTGGAACAAAAAAGAAAATTTCAGGTTGAACAATGTGCTCTAAAGAAATTTAAAGGAGTTTGTGGGGAGGAGGTGGAGGGTCCAGGGAGTCCCCTGGGGATGGTTCTTTTTAGTTGGAGGTGGTCAGGGAGGGTCTCTCATAGGAGAGGACACTTGAACAAAGACCTAAAAGATGACCACCCATGGTAGGAGCTTTCTAAGTGGAGAACACAGCACATGCAAAGGTCCTGAGGCAGGATCATGCCTTATGTTTGGAGAGGACAGGGGGAGGCCAGTGAGGCTGGAGCAGAGTGAGTGACAGGGAGAAGAAAGAGGGAGGGCAAGGAGGGGATGGGCAGGTCAGGCAGGGCTTTTGAGGATCCCCTGGGAAGACTTTGGGTGAATGAAGTCCAGGGACTAGAAAATCTGGCAAAGTGACCAG